AACGTTCTTAAGTGTCAAGGATGCTTCAGCAAATTTCATTCAGGAGATTTTAGCCTTGAAAACTGGGATGACAGAGCTCAACATGTTGGAATTGATATTGATGCTCTGAAGATGCTTGTTGAGTCTAACCAAAGGCAACACAGTCGTGAAATGGCCCTGAAATTGCATGTCTCTCATGAAACAATATGTAAACATATAAGGCATATGGGAAAATTCCATACAGAAGGTGTTTGGGTGCCTCATCATTTCCAACACTTGAATGTTGCCTCGTCTCTTCTGGCTCATAATCCATTTTTGGTGGGACATTGAAGGAGTAATTCATTTTGAACTCCTCAATCCACAGCAAACTGTCAATGCAGAGATCTATAGTCAGCAACTGGAACATTTAAATCAAGGCCTTCATCAGAAATGCCCTTCACTCATCAATTGGAAAGGTGTTCTTCTCCACGACAAAGAATGTCCACATGTGGCACGTTTGTTGCAACACAAGAATATGGAGTTGGGTTGGGAAGTTCTCCCCCACCCATCATATTTTCTAGATATGGCACTATCAAATTACCATCTTTTTCGTTCGCTGCAACACCATCTTAATGGGAAAACATATGCAAATGTGGAAGGTGTTAAAGAAGACATCAACATGTTTTTTGCTTCAAAGCCAAGTGATTTCTTTAATCAGGGTATTAACAACCTGATTGTAAGATGGGAAAAGTATCATCAATAAGAATGGAGACTATTTCATTTAATACTTGTTTTGTTTTGATATCCAAGTTGTTCAGGTTTTTTTCATCTAAAAAGAAGCGAAATTAATTTCGTGATGACCTAATACTTAAATTTGATTGCTTTATTGCCCTTATTGTCCAACTACTATTTAAAGGTGAAGAAACTTAACATGAATATCACTTTGCACTTGGAGCAGTCAACACTGACTCCATTTATTCATTGACAAATTTTTAGTAAAAATATTTTATTGAAAACTAGCTGGAATACCCATCCATTAGATGGGTGAAATAAAAAACTTGTTTATAACAAAAGGTAGGAAATTTTGCTTCTATTTTTTTTCTTTGCATAGTAAACATTAAAAGTGTAATAAAATATATGTAGAGAAAGACATTGTTTTCAAGAATTATATCAATATGAAATTATAGGTCCAACCCCCACCCCTTGTGACCTTCCTCATGTCATCCTGTATCACTTTATCAAGTTGTGCTGATTTGGTAGGGTATTTTTTTTGTGTCAATTTTGGTGTTGATTGGTCATGAAATGTGGAAACAATAAAGAAACAGATATGAAACGATAGATATACGACCATGTATTTTTGTCCCAGACACACACTTTGCTTTATATAGTAGATTCTGATTTTTGTGTACAAAAGACTTATGCTTACTTTCTAAAAGCTTGCAAAATTTCATTAAGAAACGCAAAACATTTTAAAAGTTATTATATGGAAACTCTGATGGTTACTTTGGGGTTCGGATCAACAGAGTCCATAATGAGAGAGTTAATAGTTACAATGTTTCGACCCGTAATATCGGGTCATCATCTCGTAAAAGTTACATTAAAAAAACACTGAGTTTCACTACCAGTACTTTCTTTTTGAATGATTACTTTTTACATGATGATGACTCAATACTGTAGATCAAAATATTAAAATAAGAACTTGCCTTCTGTAAATGTTGCTGTTATTTTATTTTGAATTAATTATTCAGTTCAGTAGGTTTCTCACTAAACATTAATTGGAGAGATGTCCAGTGAACCAATAATTATATTGGTATGAATTTTCTCCCTCTCTCTCTTTTTAATATATATATTACACAGATTTACAGAGAATAATTTCAAAGATCACGTGGTTTTTGCATAGTTTTGCGAGATTACTCGTTTATGGCTGTTTGTAGTCTGTGACAGTACGGAACAATTCACATTGTTTTCCCGAGTCTTATTTCTTCATATTTGTTGTGAAATCATAAATATCCTTGCAACACATTTTAGTTTGTAGCCTGAACCTAATTATGTACATTATAGTGTGTAATAGATTGTGTCCCAGGGGAAGCTGCTGAACTAAAATTTGAATAGTAAGAAATAAAAAGTTTCTGGAATAACAAGTTTTTATCTGTGTCTGTTGAACAATGAAAAGAAGCTTCAATATCAGCAAACAGTATGAAAGCTCGCCTTGTAGTAAAGGGTTCAATAGGTAATATTAAAGTGAAGACTAATTATTTCTTTTTGGTGAGCTGTATTTGTGTTTTAGGGTTAAGAAAGGATTTAAAGTGGCATCTAAATTATGGAGCTTGATTTCTAACACTGTATCTTGGTGTCAGCTCCCACCTAAGCAATTGGTGTGCACATACTGTATGTTTTGCTACATTCACATTTCAATTTTCATAGCATAGTAAATATATGGTTGGTAATTTTGTGTAATGCATTAGTTCCTATAAAAAGCAGACCTGTTTTTATTTTGATGTGATATAATTAAGTACTGTGATTTGTTAGTAAAATATTAATGGAAACTAAGTGTTCTTTATTAAGTCATAAATATTCAACAGGTCAGTGTAAACACATGCATGAATAACTAGTCACAGAAAAAGTGTTCAGTTTTTGACTGATAAGCTACTCTTACTTGAGTCCTATCATCATGAATTTTTGTATATGTCATGATTAATTTAGTCATTTAGTTCTTCTATAGTAAGGCACATACAATATTTATAAGTGGAATATAAAAAACATGTTTCAGGTTCCCTTTACATTAACTCTTCGGCTTTGGGACATTTATATACTGGAGGGTGAAGTGGTTCTCACTGCCATGTCATACACATTGCTCAAACTGCACAGAAGTAAGTTGTTTAAAATGATTATTTTATCATAAGTGAGTATTTATTATTAAGCCAGACATTAAGTATTTACACAATCCTATTCATCATTGTCATTACTAAATAATGTTAACATATACAAAATCCTTATAAATGAATTGTCCTTCTTAGATATTTTTACAAACTATCATTGGTGCCTTTCATTATGAGAAAAAAATTGATTGTTGGCTAATTTACTAAAAAACTAATTTTATTATTGTAAAAAATTTTGCTCAAGTTTAGTGATTCTGTTATGTTATGATTAACCTTTTTGTTTAATAGATTAACTAGTGTTTAAGAATACTGAATAATAATAAACATTTTAATTGGAAATTGAAATATATCTTTCTATTAAAACTTTAGAAACGTTGCTAAAAATGGGGATGGAAGAAACAGTGGAATTTCTGCAAGTTAAGTTGGAACAAGATTTTGGTTACCATGACGATGCAGCTGTTGATGCCCTCAGTGCTTCAGTGGAAGAGTTACGCAAACAGAAGTTGCATATTCCAGGAAGAAGACCAGCTCATGAACTTCCACAAAAGCCCTTTGGTTTAATGGTTGAGCTTCCTATAGAACAGCAAATTGGTTTAAGAAGCAAAGAAAGTGAAGACAAGGTATGTTCAATTTTGTTGGCTTGTTTTCATTTTGGATGCTCAAAGGGACTTATGTATTTAGTTTTTTTAACACTAACATGTTTGTTCCTCTATTTTATAGCAACCTGACAGCCAATTATGAATTATGTATCTTATACAATAGGTCTTTACACTTTTAATATGAACATTACTTGTTGAAATTGTATAAAAATAAATAAAAAGACTTTTAACCTTGGATAACTATATTCACTCAATACCACCAGTATTTCAACTTTGTCAAGATCCATTCCTACACCAAACCAGCTTTTTGAAGCCTTCACTAATTTTTATGGTCAGTTTGTTTAATTGTTTGTTCTTTGCTGTTATCACATACTACAAGGAAACTGTAGTGTTACATGAAGATTTAGTCCAGAGTTTGATCTAATTATGTCTTTTGGATTGTCTTATCAGAGATTGTTTTTAAATTATACAGGTGATAGCAAATGGCAGTCAGTTTACTATCTGGAAGAATCAGGAAATGTTGAACACTAGTGATTACAACTCAGGCAGCATTCTGCAGAGAGAATCAAAAAACTCTGATAACATAGATAATGATGACGGTAGTTCCATTGTTGACCCATTGAGTTCAAGAAACTCTCTTGCAGAAACGTCACAAACATCAGCAGCAGACTTATCTGTTGTATCTGACTTCTCCAGCCCTAACACCACACTGACTCGTTATCATGACAGGGATGGTAGCAGCTCTCCCCATAGTAGTCGTTTTGATCCTGATCACCTTCAGCGAACTCTCTCGTTATATGACAATGTGGACTACACGGAAAGCGTCATGGCTGCCATCAAACAATCTCCACCTAAGTCAAGGACTCAGTCACCAGATGCTGTGAGAATTTTTGTGCCATATGAACAGAATAATACTCCTCAGGCAACTTCATCACCTTCTCCTCCTCGTCGTGGGTTTTCACGTAGTCATTCTGGTTCACCCCCTAATGGTGATGTTACCCCCACCAATCAGGACCCCAATAAAATTACTATTCATGTTGAAATGCATGATCTAACTTCTAGCTCTCAGCAGGTAACGTGATGGAGACTGCTTAACCAAGAAAGACGTGTATTATGTTTTAACATTCCAGTAGATATTCACATAGTGCTCACTTAATGTAGCTTAATAAAAATTTTCATTAGTCGTACCTGACCAGTGGCCAAGATGTACAGCCTAGACCACGGAATAGGTGTGAGTTTTATACATGCCATGCATTTCATTAAAAATCATGAGCACAAGGCAATAAACAGTAGCTAATTTAGTAACTTATGACTTATCTAGTGATAGTTTTATTGCTATAAAACAACATTAGTTGATTGGCCTGCATTTAAATCCAAACTGTACTTTTGTTTGTATATTATGTTTATATTAATTTCTTGTAAATTTACCCAAACCAACTCTAATAACATCTCAGAAAGTAATGCTCACCAGAAATATAGCCAATTATTCATTTTGTTAATTTAGTTAAAATGCATTGCTATAAACAGATTTGGAGATGTTTCTCAATGGTGCAAGTTGTAGCTTGTGATAATAAGAGTTCAAGTCAATATGCAGAATGCCATGTCAATCAGTGTATCGTTAAAATCTCTGATGTTATGTAAATAGATATTCCACTATGATTGGTTTAATGTGGAAAGATGGAATTGTAATGCCTGTGACATCCTCTTAGTAAAGATCCTCTGTGATACATCTTTATGCCATCTCTCAGGTACAGCTGTATACAAGTAATGCTTTGTAGTAACCCTCTCTTAATATTATAATTCTTATTAATGTTAAGAGTTGAAAATAGAGTTTCTGTAATAAAACACAGTAATGCTTAAAGCTGTGGATGGTATATCCATTTGTGTATATCATAGGTTCATGTGTGTGTATTTATATGTTGTTCTTTCTTTACACATATAGTGTCAACAGCTGGTTCATGTAGTTATATATACTGTAAGAAAGAAGTATTGAATATTTATATAGTTGTTTTTTATTATGTTTTGTTTTTCATATTCTGTGCAGGAGAAAAATTGTACTTAAGATAGTTTTTTAAACAGAACTAATGTGTCATTTAACAACCAGGAATGTAACGATTCTGTGAAGAGTTAGGAATTAAACAAGTGTATGCCTTTAGCAGATATTTCTAGCTACTTCTGTAAACACACCTGCTGATGTTAAGTGTCTGTTACCATATTATTTACACCACATGATTTACTTTTTTTTAGTAAACTATATGGTTCATGAATGATAAGATATAAAATAGTTTGATGTTGAATACAGTTCATTTATCATATTGTGATAAAAGAAAAGGGGCTAAGAATGAATTTCAGACAGTTAGTAATCTGAAATGTATAGAATGTTTGGGAAAAACTTGCTTGAGGAGTGTTTTCTATACTTTTTATATATATATGTCAGTAGACTGTTTGTATTTGGAGATAGTATAGCCCATGAGTAACAGGATATTCATTTATTGCTAGATGCTGACAAGTTCTAGAATGGTTATATGAATTTGTAAAAAAAGTTTTTTTCATTCCTAAAAAACAATAAGTAGAAACAATTAATTTGGAGGAATATACTACTTGCAGTTTTCAAAGTCTTAAAAAAAAAATGACTTCATAGATGAAATTGGACTCTTTACCTTCTCATTCTTTTTATTTTATTTTAGTACTCCTGAAGGAAATATGAAAATAAATTTAGAGTAAACAGTAATGTTTTTATTTGAAAATTGTAATTTAAGGTGGGTTTTGTAATTTCTTGTGTTATGACTGTGTGTACTAATACTCTCTGCCATTAATAAATCAAGAAATTTTGCAATATGGGTTACTTTCCAAGGTCACAAACTTTATATGGTTTTATTAAGTTTTTCATTTTGTTTACTTTATAAAAAATCTAAGTGAGCAAATTTTCTTCTTAGTAATTAGTTAAATTAAGTATGAAAATTTAACCTAAAGTGCAAAAAAATTCTCTCTCTCCAGAAACTTGTTTTAGACATAGTTTAAATTGATTCAAACAAATTAGTACCATGGATTAAAAATGTTACTGAAAAGTTTAGAGTAGGATTTTGGTAATTTTGATGATGGATAACAAAGAAATCCAAGAAAGACGTACAACCACGATAATATCAGAAGATAAGTGTTAAACTTAACTGAATTGTAGCAGAAAAACTTACCGTGCTTTATTTTAAAAAAGTAGTGCTATGATTTCTGCCAATTTTTAACATAAATACAGGGTAGAAAATAAAGGCAGTTTATTATATAATTGATTAACTAAAAGTATTTTGATTGAAGAAATTTAGATAGTAAAAAAAAACAAAGTGCAATCTGTGGTCAATAGTGTTAGTGGCATACTGATTGTCATTATTATTATTATGTTTTTCTTAATTATTAGTCATTCAATAAGTATATATGTATTTAATTTGAACCTTCTTTGAGATAGAGTTTGAAGATGGCTGGAATGGATAATTAAGAAAATTTTATTACAAGTGTAACATTTGTTACCATATTTATAATAAAGTCTTCTTCATTACCTGTTCAAGCTGTCTTCTAACTTTATTATATCGTATGTATGTTGGCACCATTCAGTGTGCTTGAGTTAGCCTAAAAGTATTAACTTTCATCGTATTGGCTAGTAAGTTATTTATGTCATTATTCTATACACCTCATTTTTCTGTTCAATTTTACATATTTTAGATAGTCAATGAAATCCATTTCTAAAAATGGGGAATTTTTTGTTGTTGTTTTTAAAAATATCAGTAACAAAACTAAGTGGGAGATAATTATTAGGCACTTAGTAATAAATGACAGCTTGTAAAATTTTCTTCATTACCCTTTCAAGCCATCTTCAAACTTTATCATATCGTATGTACATTGGCACCATTCAGTGTGCTTGGGTTAGCCTAAAAGTATTAGCTGTTATTTCTTGGTTAGTAAGTTATTTATGTCTTTCGATACATCTCATTTTTCAGTTCGGTTTTTCATATCCTAGACAGACAATGAAATCCATTTGGGGGGGGGGGGCTTGTTGTTGTTGTTTTTAAAAATATCTGTAACAAAACCAAGTGGGAGATAGTTATTAGACACTTTCTGAATTCAATCTTTGAATTTTGATGTGTAATCAACTTGTATTGATCATAACTTGCAAATGGAAAAGCTGAATTGGTAGAAAGCCAAAAGTCATTACTTTTTGTTTGTATCTTGTGTAAAAGCAGATGTGTCACTGAAAATTTGATAGTCAGTTTCTTTTTTACTTTTTTCAGTAATACTTTTTGATTATATTATGTGAAGCATCTTTTTAATCATCCTCTTTTTATAATTTGATCTGTAATTATATACAATGTACCTCATTGGTAATACTTGTATGTTTTATTAAGTTATTATTGATTACCAGAATTTTTGTAAAAACTGGATTAAAATACACCAATTATCGTTTAATAAAAATGTTAAGTTTATTTACTTTGTGTGGCTTTGCTCAAAAACAAACAAGCGCGTATTTGTAAGTGGCATAAATTGTGCTTTGATGAATTAAAGAAGGCAAAGTATGTGTATATGCACTATATGTGTATATACAGTGATGGAAAAAATTATTCCATCATCCAATTTATTTTACACTTTTATTGTAATTTTTTATGAGATGGTACACAGAGGAAATGTCAAAAGTAGTGTAAGACCGTTATGGACATTGTGTGGTGTAAGTTGACTCGTATTTAAGTTATCCAAACACACACATGTATCTTTATTAATGAAACAAACATGACAAACATATTACTGCAGATGATTAACAAAATACTTTGCAAATATGAAAACGTTCTCTGAGTAAAAAAACTTAGGTTTAACGATAATGATGCTAATGTAATTGGAAAAAGTTGTCACAGAGTGTTTCTTGTAATATTTGGTTGTGCCCCTTCTGGCCTTGATAAATGCTTGAAGTTGCTATAGCATAGATTGCACAAGGGACTTAATGAAGGCAAGGGTGAGTTCATGATGCCATATGTATATTAGGCTTTGTGCATTTTGAAGATGCTTCTTGGTTTCTTCTCCTGCATTTTGTTATCCATTACTTTCCAGTAGTTGTCAATAGGGTTGAAATCTGGGCTGTTGCTTGGACAGCATAGTGTCTTGATCCTCTCTCTTTGAAGATGTCCTTCACCTGAAGCAATAAAATATAACATACAACGTCTTTTAAGTACATGTAGATGGAATTTTTTTCTTTATTTCATGTCTAATGTATAGAGTGCATAAATGTTACAAACATTTTTAGCCCTGTGCCATAGAGCAGTCATCCTAGAATTTGTAGTGGTGAGCTCCACAAAAGTGATCCTGAGTTGTTGGCTTTAACCGGGACTCGAGAATCTTGATGTACTTGCCAGTATTGACAGTACCATCCATAAAATGCTTCAAAGTTGTATTCAAACATTGTGGATGAATCTCTTCATATTGATATCATTCAAAGTGTTTCCCATCATACCTATGAAGGTTGAGTTTTGATTTGTTTGAGAAGATCACTTTGTTCTACATTGCTTCAGTCCAGTCAGCATGCTCTTTGGCACAATTGAGTCTCATCTTGTTGATGAGGAGGGGGGATTCTTCCTTGGCCATCTTGCTGAGAGACCAGCTGAACATAGACAAGTCTGGACAATATGTGCAATGAGGTTTCCTGCTATGCTCTTTTGAGATCTGTTTACAACAGTCTGATTCTGCTGGCTCATGCATTTCTACCCCTTCTCATCCACTGTACCAAACAGTTCAAAATAGACTGGTTAAATTTAATTCTTCTAGCAATCTGCCTTGTTAAAAGTCCCTCTTTGCTCAAAGAAACAATGACTGCTTTTTTCCATGGAGTTATCTCAAATCCCTTGGCCATAGTAGCATCACGTGTATATTATAGTAGATAGGCTTCTAAACTGACCCTCAGCAAGAACCTCTGTTTATAGCCGAGTAACTGATGCAATACCTAGACAGCCTATAATTGATGTAATAATGAGATACTGCAACATTCATGAAACATATTTGCATCTGCATGCATTAGGGCCTCAAAACGGATGATTCCAAAGAGAAGTGTATAAAAAATTTTCCACCATTGTATATTGGGTATGGTCATTCCTTTGAAATATTTAGTTTTTTTAGTTTATTACTAAATACACGTTATCCTCTTTCTACTTACTAACTTGTGATATTTCAGTTAAAAAACTTTTGACAATTTGTCTACTGTAGGTTATAATTTGAAAAAATAGACACTGTATATATTCTATATTATATTCTATTTTAGAAAGAAATTTATTTTCCAATAATAATTTCCATAAAAATTGTACTTCTAAAAATTGTGAGTAAAAGTAAAGAAATATATATATATATATATATATATATATATATATGTGTGTGTGTGTGTGTATCAACCAAGCTGTGTTTTGGTAGACATACATCATACTGAGCCCTAAAATTTTAATGTATGAAATGGAAATATGTAACAATATCATCAACATACAAGTATTACACATATTGCATCAGTAATGAAAATGTGGACCAGAGTTGTAAGTCTTGTAAGAAGAGCCCATGTTACATCAGTAATGGAAAGGTGATACAGAATCATCAGTTTTATAATATTACACACGAATAGCTATTCCTACAGTTATTGACTCGGCTATAAGTTAATATATACACAAGGTCTGTACAACTATTCCAGAAGAAAAACCATATATCAACATTGAGGAACAATCAGGGTACAGATCATGCCATGTTATCTTGCACTTGTGACAAATCTACTATTGTCACTGACATTGGTTTTCTGGATGAATGGATAGTCTTGACAAATGCTCTGACCAAAATGCACTTCTATGACTGGAATGCATATCTACTACTTCTATGTCCATACAACTTATGTATCAGTTTTATTCAATGTATACTATCTTGTACAGAAATTTGCCACAAACCATCAGTAACCCAACACAATATTAGAAAGTGGACTTCTCATTCAGTCTCAGGTTGGGCCAGTCATTGACTACTGTAATCTTTGAAAAGACAATGAACACTCTATCCCTATCTTTTATATGTCTGAGAAATTCCACTCCTATACACCTGAACACACACACACTTGGTTTCAATTCTCTATTTTTGAGGCACTGGAAAACTGTTCTCGAAATAGGCTTGCCACCAAAGACTAATATGTCATTCACATAGTTTAGACATCTCTCTTATTCCAGTCCTTTAAGCTCCATAAGCCTCTTGAAATTGGCAGGCATTTTACCAAGACTAAATAGCATCATACAGAATTCATACAGTGTCATTTTTAGTGCTGAAAAAGTAAGTCTACTATCATCATTCAGTTTATCTTACCAGAAGTCAAATCTAGTATATTGAATCATCAGGTGCATTACAATGCATACATTCATATGTACGTGCTAGAAAAAAGGTTAAATGTGGTTTATTTTAGAGCTTTGGTGTTTCTTCCACCTCCAGATAACCAAGCTCTTTTCGAAAATTGTATTATTACATCCCTGGTGCATAAAGGTGCCTACACTGAAATTAGTTTATTGAATATGCATCACCAATATCTATGTGTTAACATTTGATTATCTGTTCAAATGAAAACATAACCACTCTTTTAAGCAATTCACCGAATTCATGTTTCTGTGTTTAGTTGAGATTGTTAGCACAATTCTCAACTAGAAACTTCAATTGCTGTGGAACTTGCACATTAATTTTTGTTTGCACTATAGCAGTTGCAACTCTCAATTACTCAGCTTGTTTGCAATATTTTTGCCTTTGTTACTATACTGATAACCATTCTAGATAAGAACTAAATAGTGAAATATCTTTTAAGTTACAGAATCGAGTTAGTACAAAACCAGTACTTCCATAATTTTAATGTTTGAACTAATGCATCCTGCTTTTGTAATAGAAAACTTTTGTGCATCAATCACATCACGATAGCAACACTGCACTAGCTTACACATCTAATAAACTATAATACACCACTTGCATTTCAATGGTATCACTATCTTCTCAACATTCACACGTGTTGTCCATTGTTCTCAGACCCAATCTGGTCAGCAGTGGATGGGTTTATCATAGAACTGCATTGTACTGTTGCACAAAAAAATAACAGTCAGTCCATTCCTACGATATCATTATCTGAACCCAGATTAGATAGCTACCTTTTTTGGTACATGATATTACCAAGAAAAATCATAGACATGTCCTTACATTCATGAAGAATTCTTAAGCTACAATATCTTTACTTGTTTTGGAAATTTCTGTTTCGAATTGTTTTGATGCAAAGTTATACCATAGGCTATCTAAATTGCATCTGACAAGGACATTGTTTGGCGTTACATATGAATGGAGGCCTGGCATGGCCAGGTGGTTAGGGAACTCAGGTCGCGGATTCGAATCCCTGTCACACCAAAAATGCTCGCCCTTTCAGCCTTGGGAGCATTATAATGTGACGGTCAATCCCACCCATTCGTTGGTAAAAGAATTGGCGGTTGGTGGTGATGACTAGCTGCCTTCCTTCTAGTCTTACACTGCTAAATT